TGTCTAAACACCGATTAAGCGGTGATTGTGTGACATATTTGCGTGGATTAGTGTTGATTAGTGTTGACCAGTGTTTGATGTCCACAATGAAGACCATCACCACTGGTGGTCGTGAGAGGGAAGCCTTCGAGAAGTGCTATCGAGTCGGACCCGTCCTCGGGAAGGGAGGCTTCGGCACCGTTTATGCCGGCACTCGACTCCGCGACTCATTAGCCGTAAGTGACCGCAAACCACACGAACCCACACCACACACACCGGCCATCCATTGCCCCGTTTGTGTCACAACAAGCCATTGATTCAATGAATGTTGTGTTGAGTGAGAAGAGGCGCCAAACGGCAAACACTCAATATATGTCTCCATTTCTCACTTGTTGTGACATAAATGACGGCAAGTGGTGCCGATGTGGTGCCGATGACCACTCTTTGCTCATATATGTGATACTAAATGATTATCTCTACAATAGGTGGCCATTAAGCACATCAGTAAGGATAAGGTGACGTCTTGGGATGCGGTATGTATTGGCCATTACTGCCATTATGTGATGATTGCCTCCTAAGGCCTTCATTATATGGAATGGTGTCTAATGTTGTCTATAATGTGTTATACAGTGTTCTGGCCATCGATTACCACTTGAGATAAGTCTACTGCGAAAAGTGGATCACATCTCAGGTGTGATAAAACTGATTGATTGGTACGAATTAATTAATTACAGTAACATATGTTTAAATAAGCAAACGGTTGCACATTTGCGTATCATTTCTCTTCCTTTCCGGTAATTTTCAATCATTTCCAATACTTTATCAATGAAATCAATGAAATGATAGTTTTACTACAAATATACTGTAAATTGCGTTCAAGTATTATATTTGACGACAAAATTAACAGTAGAGGTATTAAATGAAATTGATATCAATATTAGGGCACAACTCATTAAAGATAACATATTAATATATTGTATGCATATTATGAGATAGATTGGTACGTGATTTGACATTTGATATGGTCATTACATGTACATTTACAGTACAGTTACGTTTGGGTATTATTACCACAATTGCAAAATCAAAATCCAATATTATTAGACAAGACTTTATTAACTTATCAGTTAATTTACTATGTATTTGAATGATCAAATTGAACCCATTGTGAGCGTCAAACACTATATTGTAGTTACAAATAGTGTAGTAAATGAGGACCAATCTGTTGCCAAAGACCAGTGGATCGATAGTATGAATCGTGTTTTCAAGTATCACAACAATTAGTGTTTAAAAAGTTTTATTTTAAGTGAAATTCTGTAATCGAAATGAATTACAAAAATCAAATACAAAATTATTTCAATTGTTTTCAATAATGATTACAATATTATTTATAATGTATTTATAATACAATGAATGTTGAGTTTGAAACTCGCATTTGTGTAGAGAATAGGATTAATGGTCACATCAATACTGAATGATTCAGTGAATAAGTTATACCGACTTATAATAAACGTTATAAAATAGGAAGTTTTAAAGGGTTTATGAGTTATAGATTAATAGACATTAAATTGCATGATATATAGAGTGGTCAGTTTGAGAAGACTTACAACATTATTAATTTAGCAAATTTGAAGGCACTATAACTTCTATTATAAAACATTATATTTCGGTTTATTTGCAAAATACATGTCAATTGAATGCATATTGAAAGCCATTTGTAATGAATAAATAATAAATAGTATATAATCAGTGAAAATGTTGTGAAACATAAGTACAGTTATAATGGTTTGAATTCCAAATAATTGAGTTTTTATTGAATTGATTGTAAGGATTGATATAAAAATATAGATCTGCGCTAATGTGTCGTATCATTAAATGATTAGAGCAGTGAAAATGGTTTAATTAGTTGCGATAAATGTACAAATATTTAGTCTATATTTTATACTTTCATTTGTCAGTCAATATATAATAATAATTTCCTAAAATAATCTTAAGTTATTTACAATATAATACAATTCAATCAATGTTTAGATGAAATAAAATATAAATAAATGAAAACGAATTCAATTAATTAATTCAATGAAACCTAAATTCAAATTCAGGTCAAATGGATTCGTGACTGTTTTGACTGCTGGTCGACGACTGGTCACTGATTGACTGGGAGTCTATGGGCGTACGTCTGCTCTGCACTGGTATTCCCGATGAGACCCCACTCTCTAACTTGGCTGACATCCAAGGGTGCGATAGAATGTCCTCAAGTGATGGTCTATCACACGGACTGATTGAAAGGCACTTTCGGATCAGATCTTGACATTCGGACGACAACTTGCGTCGAAACCGGACGTCTGCGGAAAGGATATCGGAGTCCTTCTCGAATGGTATGTCTCCGCAAACCATGTCATACAAGAGCACTCCCAACGACCACACAGTGGCTGAGCGGCCGTGATATCGGTTGTGGCGAATCCACTCCGGGGGAGAGTACACTCGAGTCCCTGTTATACAAACAGATAAAACAAATTAGTTATGTCTTAATAATAATGAATTGCATTTTATGTCAAGTGATAAATAGCAGGCATTGGCAGCACATCTCTGAAGGACGTGAGACGACCTCTAAATACTCAACAACAGCTACATTGCCGTACAATTGACTGAAACGACCGAACATTTGTGCAAATGTTTCCTTAAAACTGCCCAAAATATCATTAAGAGATGTAGAGGTAATGGAAAGGGATATGAATAGAGTATAGGGTATGAAAGGGATGAGGGATGGAGTGGTCGGTGGTGTGGACGGGAGGGAAGCCATGTTTGAATGTTGTAAACCAATTGTGATTCAAGGTTTGTGTTTTAGTGAATGGGAACAGTGTTTGGGAATACGGTATGAGAATTGGGAATGTGACCCAATTTTGCACCACATATACCAGGCATGTGATCGATTCACGCATTTATATGCACTTATCAAGTCTTACAACCATTTGATTGCTCGCACTCTTACACACATCAAAACAGTGGAAAGCAGTTGTGATCCTAAGACTCGACACACTTTTGTACAAAAGAGAAAATTGTTTGTAATTTATAAATAAATAGCAAATGCAATGCTTAAGGAAATGAATGAATGTTTGCTAATATTAAAGGTACTCAAAGCCAGTCTCAAACAGACATCTTTCAAATTGAACACTAAATTCAATATATAATAAATTAAAATTAAGGGGACATTCATTTGGGTCTTGTATAGTATGTATGAAATATAGGGAAAACCAGTTCAAAGTGCCTATTAATGGATGGTTTGCATTCCAAGCGCTCACTAGTTTTGTCAATACATAACATATACTCAATTAGAGCCTTAGGGTGTGTCGACTGTCGACTCAATTAAATGCATTGCAAGCTTAATGTTTGCCAGGAATGTGAATACAATTGTCATTCATTTACTCTACATATTGTATATTGTAATGTAATCGCTATTTATTTTACTTAAACACCTGTTTTGTAACAATTAATTAATTATAACAATAATATCACAACAAAGTAGGTTTGACGTCAAAACAATCAATAAGTGAATTGATTTAACAATTAATAGTAGAGTACAAGTAGTGTAGTAGTGGTGGTGATGGCAGGGATGGTAGGGAATGGGGTTGAATGGCCAGCCGAGTGGTGGTCCCAATGGCGGTAAGGGTATGGTATGGAGGGGACGGTGACCTCCGGGTGTGCGCCTCGAGGCCTGCATTCCTCACTGGCTTTTGGTGCGCAAAAGCGCCCAAATCTATGCAATGTATGCTATGGTGAGCACTGGTATGCAATCGCATGAAGTGATGGCGTAATGTCTGTCAGCCATAAATCGACAAACACTACAACTCGAGTCGACTTCAAATATTTGAGTCAAACTTTTCACTCTTTACCGCAATTTTTGTCATAACTCCTCAATAGTTAGTCAACCGTTGGTCTCATTATAGCCAACCGTCGCTCATATAAACCCTACACACCTAACAGTGCTCTTCCATATCAATACAAATACAGTATTCATAATTCAATGTAATGTCAATTGTTGTGAAACAAACTAATGATAACGTCTTAATAGTACAGAAGTTGAGCGTAATATCTAAACAATAGTTATCTTTTTGTAAACCAATTAAATCATTAAAACAATGAGAAAAATATAAACTTTTCTAAAAGTATCACAATTTGGGTCATAACGCATGCGATACCAGATTTGGGAACAAACAGTTCAGACTTACATTAATTACAATCAAATTGTAATCAAAATAAATAAAATTATTAGTGGAGGAAAACCCACTTTCATTACGACTACATCTACACTAACCTATGGTATAGTATAGAGGGGTACAGATATGGAGGGATTCAATAATTGGTGTTTAGGTTAACTAACAAACAAATGGTCAGAAAAACAATCGTTTAATTAATAGTGAGAATCAATGGAAATGTTTAGTTGGAAAAGACGTCAATAAATGAGACAATTGTTGGAAATGACGTAAAAGGAAATATCGGAGCTCGAGATGACGTACAAGTGTTGTTGTTGTGTACACTTGCAGTACACTATACCCTCCATACAAGTGCCCTATTCCTGTGCACTCCTGTACACTATTCACTACTTTTACCAATAGTGTATGAGTTGACAGATAGGCTATAAATAAATACTAAATATGTATCGTATAATCTGTTAACACATAACACATTCACTTTAAAGCCATTTGTTTGTTGTTTGCAATGAAATGAAAACACAAACACGTCGTCATCAGTGGTTAGCGCCCACTCACTCACACCCATAGAGTGGGTGCCGTTTGGCCATAGATGGCCTCATCCAAGCCATTACACCATTACATACTATAAACAACAACTGCAACACACGTACCGTCGAAGTCGGTGTACGCGCTGTCCTTTAAGTAGGCGCCCGAACCGAAGTCCACTATTTTCAACGTATAAGTCCTCATATCAACCAATATGTTCTCGTCTTTGATATCCCGATGAATAACACCCGCCTTATGACAGGCGCTCACAGTTTCCACCACTTGTCGAAAGAAAAGTCGCGACAACTTCTCCTCCAGAACTGCTTTCTCCGTAATGAAGTCGAAGAGGTCTTTCACCGCTTCCGGTCTCTCCATTATTATGATGAATGAATCGCTTCTTTCGTACCAATCAATCAGTTTTATCACACCTGAGATGTGATCCACTTTTCGCAGTAGACTTATCTCAAGTGGTAATCGATGGCCAGAACACTGTATAACACATTATAGACAACATTAGACACCATTCNTTCCGGTCTCTCCATTATTATGATGAATGAATCGCTTCTTTCGTACCAATCAATCAGTTTTATCACACCTGAGATGTGATCCACTTTTCGCAGTAGACTTATCTCAAGTGGTAATCGATGGCCAGAACACTGTATAACACATTATAGACAACATTAGACACCATTCAATATAATGAAGGCCTTAGGAGGCAATCATCACATAATGGCAGTAATGGTCAATACATACCGCATCCCAAGACGTCACCTTATCCTTACTGATGTGCTTAATGGCCACCTATTGTATAGATAATCACATTTAGTATCACACATATGAGCAAAGAGTGGTCATCGGCACCGCATTGCCGTCATTGATGTCACAACAAGTGAGAAATGGAGAATCTATTGAGTGTTTGCCGTTTGGCGCCTCTTCTCACTCAACACAATCAATGGCTTGTTGTGACACAAATGGGGCAATGGATGGCCGGTTGGGCGGTGTGTGTGGTGTGGGTTAGTGTGGTTTGCGGTCACTTACGGCTAATGAGTCGCGGAGTCGAGTGCCGGCATAAACGGTGCCGAAGCCTCCCTTCCCGAGGACGGGTCCGACTCGATAGCACTTCTCAAAGGCTTCCCTCTCACGACCACCAGTGGTGATGGTCTTCATTGTGGACATCAAACACTGGTCAACACTAATCAACACTAATCCACGCAAATATGTCACACAATCACCGCTTAATCGGTGTTTAGACA